GATTGATCCTGTATTAAGGTATTCTGCAAAATATGTTTTGAAAAGTGCTGTACTAAAATATTTTCTTTCTTTCTCTCTTTCTGTATCCTCAGGTGGATGCATATGGGTTCATGACTGATGAATACATGAAATACTCCAACTACTATTTTGAGAAGTACATTAAAAGTAATGTCATTTTCTATGCCAACCATGACTACATTTTGGAGAAGAATACATGGAAAAACTTTCACAAAAGAAAAATAATAAAGCTGTTTCAAAGAACGGAGCCAGAAACAAAGACAGAAACCCCGAAGCAACACTGAGTTCCCTCTTAATGACAGAACCCACACCATTGCTCTGTTGATATTCAAAGCTTGTTTCAGGCAGCACGTTGGTGCAGTGGTTAGCCTAAGAAAGTCCTGTGTTCAAATCCACCATATCGCCAGGGACTAAGATCCAGCCCCCCTGTGACCCTCAACTGGATAAGTGGAAGATGGATGGATGGATGGATGGATAGAATGAAGGTGATCTGATTTGTTCTAATTTGTTTGGGATGTTTTGCCAATCCTAAAGGGGTCCTCAGTCCAGTATATAACAACATCACAAGCAGAAATCTTTAAATTAAAGACATTGAAACATCTTGTCAGCCTAAAGGTTTATTCCATGGGACTTTTTGAAAAAGAAAAAGAAAAAGAAGTGTATGTCTGTAGGTTATTTTTTATATTATGAGACAACCTGATTGCTTTTAGCTGAAGGTAAAAGGACTCCTCCAAGGTTTATAACTCTAAACTGTAACTAAATTGTCTCAAGGTTTAGATTATTTATTGTCATTATGTTACAAGAACGTAACAAAAATTTCAGTGGTGCCCTCAGTGATAAAGAAAATACAAAAAAGATCAATAAATAAGATTAAAACAGGGCAAAAAATCAAAAAGTTAAATGGAGAAGACTTTAGCACTCTTTAGAGTACATGCATACTGATATGCAAAGAAAAGTTGATGATACTGTAAACAAACACGTATGGATCAGTATTTAAGGTTTGACTCTCATCATCCACTGGAGCACAAATTGGGTGTCATCAGGACACTACAACATGGAGCGAACACCATCCCCACAGTTACAGTGGCCAGGGAAGCAGAAGAACATATCGTGATTATGCCAGCTGGACATTTGTTAAAGCTGGGAAGGCACCTAATGAAAACTTCAGCCAATCCAGGAGAGAAAGACAACCGCTGACTGAGCGAAAACCCTTAGTGATCTCTTACGTGTCAGGAGTATTGCAGCAGTTGAGACACATTCTCTTTAAACTCTTTGGATTACAAACCTCAAAACGCACTGCGCCAAAGATTGGCCCACCCCAAGGATCGGATTCCCCGACACAAACAGAGTAACATAGATTACGTTGTTAGGTGCCAGGAGGATTGTCATGATTTATACGTCGGGGAACCCGACCTGGCTAAGCAGATGGGACAACACGGAAAAGCTAACTCGTCAGGCCAGGACTCCACAGTCTATTCACACCTACACGCCAGTGGACACTGTCAATGATGAGGATATACACAGGGAGCAATGCTGGTTTGAGTGGGGAGTCAAGGAGGCCATTTACGTAAAAAGGGAAAAAGTGAAAAGGGCAAGACATCTTTTGTATTTATTGTTTCAGTCTTGTGTTGAGTTGCCCCACATTATTGTGTGTTCCCTTCTTTTTCTGAGAGTCTCCTACTGTTTGTTACTATTTCCATTCCCATTATATCCCAGTAAATCCTTAATTTTTGCTTTCAGTTTTTGGATAGCGTTTTCCCTTCAAAGCACTTTTTCATTTCTTATTCAGATATTCAAGTAAATTCAAATAAAATGTGCAAACAGCAATAGCACTGTCGAATACTGAAAGCCTCAGCCAACGTTTTAGAAGCCTGAAATCCCCTCAATCACATTCCTTTTTGCAATTCAAATAAAAAAAGAACTGCTCCCTTCAGGATTCAAATCATCAGAACCACTTTGTATCGCATCCTTCACTATCTTACTACAAGTAAAAGGTGGTGTCTGTCAAACATGGCCAACATGTTTGTTCTGTTTGTTTTTTCCTTATTGAAAAATCGTTCGATCACCCCCTTCTTTGAGTGCATGCAACCTAACCTTTTCAAAGTAATAGCTTCAACTTACTTAACACGTACATTTTCAGATTCTGATACTATAACAATTTGCATTTTATTTTAGTAAATATTTAGTATATTTTTGTTACTGTACAATGCAATGATAGTGTTAAGTTAATTAATTAAAAATAAAATGCTCAACTGTACTAAATAAGTACAGAATTACTTATAAGCAGGGTTAATTGTTTTTAATTGTGTCAGAAGCACAAATAATAATATTTGTTGTCAAAATTGATCAAATCATATTGATTTCTTGAATATGCTTTTTTGTATATATACAACTGCTGCAATCCCACTCTAATTAAAGGAATTCTATACCAAAAATACTGCAAATGTAACAGTTATTCACTTGACGAGTAACTCAGGCAGCTTGAAACACTAGATTTATTTTTGCATAAAAGCACAGTGTGGATAAACCGAATCTCTTTTAAAGGGGTAGTTTTAAATGAAGTTTAACGAGAGAAGAAATTCTTTTTAACTGACTGTTGCCTAAAGGCAGGTGTAGGTTTTTGGATTGGCCTAGCGAATGCTTTACTGCCATCTAGTGGTAAAAACTAATATTTCATATAAACATGTTGTTAACAGTATCTGCAATATATTACACATATATCCAACATGTCCGTATTTCTCCAAGGGTTTTAATGATGAAGACAAATCTAGCATCCTTATTTTTCTTTTATCCTACATTTTATTCACTCACTTGTTGCCTCTGGTGAAAGTTTAAAGGTTACAATGAGTAAGGAAATACTTAGAATGAATCATGAAATGTAAACAGAGATGTTGTGACACGCTTAAATGTTCTACTTAGTTCATGCTACGCTTCATAAGCAACTGAGCTGGTGAGTGCGGGCTGGAATGGGTGTGATATTGTTTTGTTGTTCCAGATTGCCTGAATGGATGGTGTTTCATTAAGTTTTTGAAAAGTTTGGCCTGCCACAGAATAACAGCAATAGGAGAAGTATTTCTTGATCTCCTGCATGAGGCCATGACACTGAATAATGTTGAAATGAATAATGTCAATGTTCAGTGTGACATGACACTGTATAAATTTGTTTACCTCTCATAAAGTGTGTGAATGTGTGTGTGAATGGGTGGATGACTGAATGTAGTGTAAAGCGCTTTGGGGTCCTTAGGGACTAAGGGCCATTTACCATTTACCATTTGAAGTAGAAAAATAGTAACATTAATCCTCACACAAGAACATCCATGGCTTCAGGCTTATACGAACTAACACATTTGTGGAGAGTGCCAGGTGGTCACTATAATAAACAAGATTCATGACTCTGTCACTTCAGCTCTGGGAGTAAGTAAGTGCTGTGGAAGTAAACGTTTTTTGTTGGTGGTGGTGGTTTTTATTGTTGTTGTTAAGGTAATCCGAAAACTATGTCCTCTTACTGGCATCCTCAGGGGGATGTATATAGATTCATAAAAACACAATTACTTAAAATACACCAACCACTGTTTTGAGAAATATATTAAAATTTATGCCCACAACTACATTTTGGAGAAGATCATATTTAAAAAAAGAATTTCACCAAAGCAAAATAAAAAAGCTGAGAAAAAAACTAGAGACTAAAATATGTGACTGCCAAATTGTTTGTACTTGTGCAAAGTATGGAATAAAGGGTATCTGGTTTGTACCAGTTTGTTTGGGATGTGCTGTATGTCCTATTCTATGCAGAAGCAAATAGAATAGAATAAAATAGAATAGAATAGAATAGAATAGAATAGAATAGAATAACCCTTTATTGTCCCTTATTGGGGAAAGTCCAGCTGCAAAGTGACAGACAAATTGAGCATGCAGATTCAAACAAAAGAACATAAAATAAAAAAAATAAAACAAACTAGTGCTGTCAGCGTTAATCTCATTAAAATGATGTTAACGGCATAACCGCATTAACACGGCAAATCTCCGTTAGCAAGTGTGGGGCTGGATGGCGCTAACGCGTTAATGAGCTAACCGCGCTAACGCGTTGACGCTGTTATTGTGAGTTTGCGACATTGAATGCAATGATAAAAACACTAAACATCCCACAAAGGTCAGCTTTATTTCATTCATAATATAGCTTTATAGATGATGTTACATGCAGATGTTGCACAATGTTTACAAATGTTAGAGACCATTTCAGTAATCGCTGATGTAGTTGAGGAATTTGAGGCAACGTCGAAAACATCTACAGAAGAGTTGTAAAAAACATAAGTTCAACAAATTCTGGAAAGTAAAACTTTGGAAACAATAAAGAACAAAAATTAAAAGAGAAAAAAGACCATAACATTAAGGCAAACAGCCAAATGCTACATCCATTACACCTCTAGAAATTAAAGTGTACTATAAAAACAAACCCAACCACTAAGATCCAACAAACATTAAAAGAAAATACGTGATCTTGTTTTACATACCCCTCTTTCAGAGGTAAAAGACATAATCCAACAGGTTCTCACTCCCAACTTGTCAAATGTGTGACGCATGGTCAGGCTCCCTCTGCTTCACTTATCGACCCTGCGCGTCTCACTGCCAGACTGGGGCAACAGTTTCTTCCCCCAAGACGTCAGACTCCTGAACACTCAGTGACTAGACTGACACACACATACCTTCATATACGTCACTACCTCAAGCACTTATCTGCACAATCTCACGCATACGCACACACACACACACACACACACACACACACACACACACACACACA